CCCCCCTCCCCCGCCAGTGCGCCGTGGGGGACGTGCCTCTGAACCGGGGACCCCTCCCCTGCACCACGCTGCGCGTGCAAGGGAAGGGGGCCCCTCGCCCCCGTGGCGCACGTGCCTCGGAACGGGGATCCCCCCCCTCCCCAGTGCGCCATGGCGCACGTGCACTAATGGGGACCCCCCCCCATGCAGCATCCCACGTGCACTAGTGACGAGGTGCAGTGCACCATCCCCATCACCTGCATGGTAATGGGGACCCCCCAATGCACCGTCACACATGTGCATTAATGGGGACCCCCATGTGCACTAATGGGGACCCCCCCATGCTCCACCATACATGTGCACTAGCGACGATGTGCAGTGCACCATCACGTGCATGGTAGTGGGGACCCACGAATGCACCATGACCCATGTGCACTAATGGGGCCCTGCGATGCGCTATGATGCGTGTACACTGTAATGGGGACCCCCCAGTGCCTGTGTGGGTACCCTCCAATGCCGAGGGCACTATGCTCCATGCATCCTGTAATGGTGCCTCCCCCCAGCACACCAGGCACAGGGTAACAAGTGGATGCTGGGGGGGGAGCTTCAATAGGTTCAAAGCCCCCTGGACCCACACTCCCAGCTGCCCCCACAAAGCTTGGCAGGGGGAATGTTTTGCTGACTCTGAAGGGTACCACCATGCCCACCCCAGGGTTTTTCCATCTGGACTGGGATGGTGGGGGTCCCCTTTGGTATCCAGACCGGCAGCAAGTGTGGACAGTAGCTAGCACACCCTGACACAAACTAATGCCCCTGGAATTCAGTAGGAGTTGCTCTTCCCACAGGGTTGCAGTCACCTCAGTCCCCCAGCGTGCTGGTAGGGGGCGCTGTGCCCATGAACACCCACCAGTGGGGTGGGGTGTCTTCACTTCCTGTCCCAAGCTGACATTGTTGCTAAGCTGTTGTTGCTAAGCTGTTAAGCAGTTGCTGTGCTCCACCCCAGAGACAGCTGCATTTCAGGCCTGGGGGAACGATCTTTGTACAACCTGCAGCTGGGCTCCATCTCAGAGTGGCGTATAGACAGCTGCCTCAGCCTGCCCCAGAGGTGGCTGCATGTCAGTGACAGAGGACCTCCAGTGCAGCTAAGATGCAATGCAATCTGAGACTCTTCTCTCAAAGCCTGGGGCTGATCAGGGACCCACCTGGCTGATTAGCTGTGCCACAGAGTGGGAAGGAGGGGTCTGGATCAGCTGATCGGCTAGCGGGAACCCTCCTGACCTACTGCGTAGGTACCATTGCTGCTTTGCTCCATGGGAAGGGCCACAACAGAGCTGGCTTCTGCCCATGGCAGATGCGGAGGGGGGGCAGAATACTGGCCTGTGAGAGAAATGAACAGGGGAGGGAGATCTGGACCCAGGCACCCCCAGCTGGGGCAGCAGTAGGGTGCAAGATGCTGCTGCTAGCCCCATCTAAGGGGGAGGTACAGCCCCTGGCTGCCCGGGTCACTCCTTCCCTCCCTGGCATGCTGAGCGTGACGCTCCCACAGCTGCCCCCCTGCAGGGTCTTCGTGGCCCAGGCCCAGAGAGGCGGGGGCCAGGAATGTGGCTCCCCTGGGCAGCCTGATCCCGGGGGAAAGTCCTGGCCCGTTTACCTCTGCCGGGGTAAATTTACCCCTCTGAGTTTGCCCCATGGATCTGCTCATGGAGGGCGACTCGGCTCACTTAGCCTGGGAGCTGCATGCGAGCTGCCAAAGCCCCCATCCCTTCACAGACCTCCCCATCTGCAGAGCCTGCCAGCCTGGCTAGCAGACCCTGGAGACGCGCGTTGCCCCTTCCTGTGCCCTCTGGCTGATCGATGGTGCGAGCGGGCCGAGGGTGACAGCTGGCACCAAGCACCTACCCGGGCCAACCCACATGGACTCTGAGCCGTGGGAGGGTGAGGAAAGGCTGCCTCGCTGCTGGGGGCCCGGGCCAGCCTGGCATGGCCTCTCCCCACACCCTGCAGAGTCTGGTCCCCTCTTGGTCTGATGGGAAGAGCCAGGCTGGGGGGATTTTCAGCCCCACTCGCATCTGATCACAGGCTGAGGGAGATGGGCCAGGTGAGAGGCCCCTGGGGCACCAGGCCCCCAGCTGGGAAGGAGCCCAGCTTCGCACCACACTAGCCCCGGGGAACGGGCCAGGAAGGGGAGGCCACTGGGGCGTGTAGCAAATTTCCCCTTGCAAGGGGCCAGGGTGCCCTGGTGCTAACTCATCCTTCCCCTTCCCCCACCACAGTTCCTGCCCTGCTCTGACCCCAGACCAGGCCCCTCTTCTGGCCTAGACCCCGGATCCACTGCCAGGGCTGGAAGGAAATTGCTGCACTTT